AGTCGTTCCCCGTTGTTGTTCATAATGTCGCGTCCGTACGCGCCCATAATCTTGGCATCGCAGCATCCGTCTCGCCTCATTGAACGTGCCGAACGATAAATCGCCCATGTCTTTCTGTGTGTATATTTGTTTCTCCTAATGTCTGTTTTGGTCCCGCCGCGTTTTTTGGCTCTCCGCCGTTTTCTGTTTGATACCCGATGCTACCGCCTCCTTGTTTGAAACCTGAAACCGTCAGACGAAAAGCGACAGAAAGACTGGAGCTGTCGTGTAGACTGACGTACTGTAGACCGGACAAACTTCCTGGCGATTGGTATTGGTATTCTATTGTTGTGAAACAGAAGCATTGGTCTACAGTTGTGCGGATATGTGGCGTGTATCTATCGAAAGAGATTCACTGAAAAAAAGAGTAGACTATTTACTCTATAGACTAGTATTCTGACTCCAAACCGAGGATCCTTTCATGTACGTATGGATTGGATGAGGCCTCCTGCGCCGGGCAGGAGTCCTCGCCGGGTATGTCACCCCGCGCTGCAAGGGAACCCTCAAGGCGGTCCTCCCTAGCGCGGTATTCGTACCAGTAAACGATCTCGGTAAGAACTCAAACGTACTAGACTCTGTCAAATAGAATACCCTTCAAGACCTAGCCGGGTGGGTGGGATGGTCGCCGTAATGTTGTTATCAATGCTGCTCACGAGTTGTCCGAGCGAAAGGAGTAACCTCTTTGCGCACACAATTCGCTATACATTCGATGAGAACTGTGGTTCCATCATTTGTAATCTCGGAACCATCCGGTCTGATCGGAATTCAACTTTAGGATTAGTTTGGAAATTGCTGATGATGATGTAACGCTCAGTCTTCGGCTTTGTAACATCTAGTCTACAGCAAGAAGCGCGTAGGATCAGATTATGCAATGGTTTCCTTTAGAATTGCCCAAGAGGGCTACAAATAGCACTTTTATTTCTGGGTGGGGTGCCACTACACAGCCTCTTCAATTTGTCAAAGTTGGCGAGCACGATGGTCTGTGGTTGTATTTGTACCGCGTCTTTGTGCCGCCTGGCCTTCCCGACAAGTACTCGGTAATTTCTTGACTAATTAGTCTAATTGCTTCCCCGGGGCACCTGTGCTCCCCCGCCTACCTACCCGTGGTCGAGAACAATCCATCCCAAGTGCGTAGAATCTCCTCTCCAAGGCATCAGAATTATGGTCCATATCTACGATGGTGAAGCCTCACGCACGTTCCAACAAACAGCTAGCTCTAACCAAGTGTGACGCCGTCAACCGTTAGTAGTAATGCAATGAACACATGACGGACATAGATTCCCGACTTCAAATGTAGATGAACATGCACTTCCTTGCTGCCGATCCCCGCAGCGATAGCAACAACAGCAAACATTCAGGCCGACTTTCCCTCGCCATTTTCCCTTAACACTTCCTTCTTCAAATCTTCCCGCAAAATATTCGCAAGCGCCAGCGATATCTTGGTCTGAAAGACGGCCTTTACATATCGCACCGTCAAAACGTCTTGAAGGAAAATTGTGACAAGCACCGCAGGGGGTCGAGGTCCTCTTGCGGCTAACAATAGGCATTCAAAACACATTATGGCACGCGTTTTCCTACTAAACATTGACGTGTTCTCATGGGCCATCCGGCTAGCGCAGTCGATGCTGATGTTAATATAGACACACCCACGTGCGTTCACCTCTCTCTTTCCAAGCCATGCGTCAATCATGTACCGAACGGTGTTGACTGGCTGCACCCCCTTGCATAGACGTCACAAGAACATACAGCACTCCGATAAAACGAACTCAAACACATGAATCAAAGTTGCAACGCGTGCTTGTCAATTGCTTTTCGCTCCTGTGGTCTCAACCATCAGGCATTCGGCACGCAAAGCACCGCGGTCTATCTGTACCAATCAAACGGCAACGGCCCCAAATGGAAAAAAAACAAGCCAACGATGGACCCGAAACCCCTCGACCGCACACGCACACAACACACCCCCACCTCCNCCGAACGGTGTTGACTGGCTGCACCCCCTTGCATAGACGTCACAAGAACATACAGCACTCCGATAAAACGAACTCAAACACATGAATCAAAGTTGCAACGCGTGCTTGTCAATTGCTTTTCGCTCCTGTGGTCTCAACCATCAGGCATTCGGCACGCAAAGCACCGCGGTCTATCTGTACCAATCAAACGGCAACGGCCCCAAATGGAAAAAAAACAAGCCAACGATGGACCCGAAACCCCTCGACCGCACACGCACACAACACACCCCCACCTCCCTCCAACCATTCCGTACCCATCCCACAAATCCACGCAATTTTCACCAGCATCAAACTCCAACAATCGGCAGGGCACAATCTCTCTCTCTTCTTACCCAGACCACATCCACACGCACAGAACGCATTGAACATGAAACTGTCATTCCAAAAAACGATCAGCTACTTTAAGTAAAGTATGCGGCTTCGCGGGAGAGGTGAGTGACACCAACATGGGTGCACAAGACCTACGATTTAAACACACAGGTTGTTGTTGCGTTTGAGCAACGGCGCGGTTCCGATAACAGAATGGTGCCCTAATACTGGGGACGTCAGAGAAAATAAATGCAGGCAAAGCACTCCGCCACTCAGTTGCACTCCGTGGTTCGATGACAAACGTCTGCAACGAAACATTTGCCGGAGAGAGAAAGCCCTCCTTTACGCTACACGTTGGTGTGCGTAGGATACCATACCCCCTTGGCCCATTTTCGAAGCTCGACTATGTGCCCCACCGCCCCAAACGAGGAAGGTGTCTAAAACTACGAAACATCACGTGGTCGAGAGCTTTCCGGAAACACATGACTAAATGTTGGCAGTAAGCATCCTCTTCGTCGTGGAGTAATCCAGCCCTTCAAAAACCCTGTCCACGCGGGAGGGGTGGGTGGTATCTTGCGCAGCATACGTACGTACGTACGCGTACATGCACGAGACCCCCTATGCCGCCTTGTCCTTGACGGAGGGGGAATGGTGTCGGTCGCCCCGCTCCCGCTTCCTTCCGGAGACGCTCCCTTGCCGTAGGCCAAGTTCTGCTGCTCCTGCACGGCTGTGGGGTAGTCGTAACCCACGTGCCCCATGTGCACGACCTGGTCCATCCGGCGCGCGCGCACGGGGGGGAGGCGCGCGGTGGGAGATTAGTCTACCAAAAAATGACGAGGAGAAGAGACGTGGGCGTTGGCACGGCGGTTGGGAAAGAACATCCATTCTCCACCGCCATTGAAACTGACGGGATGCCAATAAGCAAAATGACACCAGCAGTACTAATGCCTCCTTGCGGCCCGAAAACAAAAAAACGTGAAACCGTCAAGACCCTGCCGTTCACCGGTGGGGGGACGGGATGGACAGGCAATAACCTAACAGTTCCACATGTTCCCACTCCATCTCCCTTTTCCGCTTGGAAGGCGATTCACAGACGGGATGACTAAGATAACGGTACCAGAACTCACCTCTCCCCACTCCATCTTCCTCCTCAGCCTGGGGCTGAAGTACCTCCAGAAGCGGCGGGTTTTGTAGCGGGCGGGGGCTTCGGCCTTGAGGGTCCCCGGGGATGGGAGGCTGTGCTCTTGCGCGGTTGCCTTGACCCTCGCTTCCAGCCCCTGCGCACGTCCCGCAGTTTCTCCACCTATTACAGGGTCGATGACAGATGAACAGAAGCATGTTGTGCTGCTTGGGGAATCGTCGAAACACAGGCAGTGCTCCGCTACGCTCGCTATGACTTCATTGTTATATTTTCCTAGACCCTTCATCTTCGATAGATATGAATTGATTGTTATTCATCACGAGAAATACAGTGGGGACAGCAGCGGAGCAACAACCGCAATGACAACAACAACAACAACACCAGATGGATATTCAACTATCGCGGCGCCCTGTCTTTCGTGGTGGGACGTGAGCGTATCGACGACAGGGCACGGTGGAATCAAGAAGGACGTTTTTCCTTCGCGAAAGCGACGACGCCAGGGGTTTCCCCCCGGCAGTACGCACCCCTATCGATTGGTCTGGTACCACGCACAGGGCTCAGGATTGATTTGGGTCGATTGGAGAGCATTGTAGAGGAAACCGCGCCACCAGGAAGTCCCTCCTCAAAGAGAAGACAAAAACGAATGTTTTCACTTCACTTCGGCGGGAAAACTGACACGCCACAGCCCTGGGCAGCTCTGGCATGCTCTCTCTCTCACCTGCCCCTGGCGGAACAGGAGCGTCGACAGCTCCACCCAGGCGTTGAGGCAGGCCACGCCGTCCTCCAGCCCGCGGACCGTCATCCAGAGCCAGGCCGGGGACACGAGGAGGCTAGCCCCGACCCTAAGCCCTAGCGGGTCCTTGGTGAGAACCATGGCCCCGAGCAAGACTACAGTGGGAACAACAAAGACGGACATGGCCAGCTTGTACTGGGCCACCTGAAGTGAAAACAATGAAACGCCCGAGGCAGGGTAGGTTTACAATGGAGAAAACGGGAGCAGGACAACGTCTTCGCGGTGGCGCACTATACAGATCTCACCAATTGAGAAATTCAGCCTCAACAAAATCCAAGAAGTTGGTCATGAGAACAATAGGTGCTATAATAGTATGAAGCCTCCATCAAACCCTCATATTGTAGCCGCCGTGGGGTCATAGACTAAAGAAAGCAACGAGCGTCAGCGGAAAACAATAAATCCTCAAGTGATGCCGCGTTCTGTAGTCTACCATGCAACAACCTGAGGTCTTCTCCATGCGCGGGTTGGGCTGACTGCGTTGCTTGCCCGGACAATAGTATCACCTTGGGGGCGGGGGGGAGGGCACGCAGACGAGACTGAACGATCGATCGGTGGTTCTCGTTCAAGGTTGGTTTGCCGTGGGGGAGGGGGATGGGGGGCGCAGCTGCTCTTGGGTCCACCGCGCGAGCCGCCACGTCCCCAACCAGAGCAGGCCACGACGGCTATCAAACACCAACAAGGGTTGTCCTCGCCAACAAGCACGGAGGAAGGAAACAAACAGGGCCAAATAGCAAACCCGCACATCAGTCACGGGGTTCTGGGGTAAGAGAGGACGATTGGGCGGGGGATAGTTCAAGGAGGTAGGCATGACTCGCAGGAAGGAGAAAAAGCATAAGGTCCTGATCGGAAGACCCAAACGTCATCGAGGTTTGCTCAATGCATTGTCGATGAAAGTGGTTTGGCGAGCGGGGGTGTTGACTTAGCATTATTTGTTCGAGGGAAAGGGCCACGACACGGCTGACACAGCAGCGCTAATGCAGACGCCGATCACAAGCCGATACTTTGATTCGTGGCTGAGGTGGGCCACATCACATTCTCGCTAGGGTAGGCCTCAGAGCCGTTCTTAAAACCAGCGGTGTCACAACGGAGGACAAACCAGAACAGTGTCGGTGTAGTCCTGGGGCTTCAGAAGCACCACAATCGTGCACGTGTTCTGCCCATTGAAATGTCACGAGATTGTGGTGTGCGGCCCTTTGTGGCAATTTCAGACAACCTGACGACATCGGAGACAGAAAAACAATGACAGAGCCACCCGCATATACAAGGGAGGAAACACAAGAGGTATTCGGAGCCGTAAACACCACACACATACACCTCATGACGAAAACCCTCAGATAAAAAAATAGCCACCGACGTCGTGGCGGATAGGTGGTAACGACGACGGGTAACGGTCCCATACCTGAGGCCTTACTCTACGTCTCCTGTACGACGGTCCCAGCTCCCTGTGCCTCTCGTCGTAAGCAAGGAGATTCCTCTTCAGCTGCCCGATCTCCGCGCACTCTCATCGGTAGCCTAACTGTCCATGCGGCATCATGCATTTAGTGGTAATTTACACCAAGGTGGGCGAGAGCAAGAAGAGCGTATACGTAACCAGCAACTCACACACGTGAACCTCTGAAGCGGCGGGTGTCACCGCTCAACGAGAGGAGGTCTTCCTTGTCGCTTGCTTTTTCTTGCCTTTACTTCATATCAGCGCTCACAGCATTTGTGCCGTTTACTCCAACCTGTGGTAAAGAAACAGAATGGTTCCTCTCCGTACCCATACCTCCCGCGGGGCTTTGCCTTCGATCTGCCTTGTCGTTGGCGGCAAATAATGAACCGCAATCCAGAACAAACAAATACAGGCCTACTCTGCTGCGTTGGGCACCTTGATCTCGCTTTTGCTGTTGCTTTTGTTTTTTGTACATCCGGCTGTCTGCCCATCTGCCGCCTCTTTGTCCTGTTAGCTCAGCTACTCCCATGCCCTGGTGCGTAGTGCCTGGTGCTGGTACGTTACCCTTTGATTTTTCTTTAGGCGGGTGTGGGAAGCGTCCTTCTTTATTTTGTTTTGGTTCGAGGGCTCTTTTCTCGACCGGTCGGTGCGGTACCTGTTACTCCCTTTTTATCATTTTGTTTTCTTTTTTCGAGCCTATATTTGTTCTGTTTCCATAGAGCTAATGAGAAACAACAACATCAAACAAACACATACAAATAGGTATATGAGAGCAGAAAACAAATATTTGTTGACACCCGTTGGAGAACCCCGGAAACGGGGCGGCGCAGAAGGCAGTAGCGACGATTGATGGATGTTGCCATCCCCCCCCGAAGAAATCACTCGACAAGAAAGAAGAAAAACGGACTGCTGTCTCTCGAGCGCCACGATGTGGGGCAGTAAACCGACAGCAGCAGTAGACTAGACCAGTACAGAAAAATGAGGGTTGAGTTCTTCGCTGAGCGAACAAACTGTATCGACCCCACAAAAAAACACAATCAACACGAGGATACATTTACGCGGGCGGACGCGCGCATGACTGGTAAGTTTTTAGGGTAAGTTCTTAACGAAGAAATCAGATCACGAAATCACATTCAGATTTGGTTGTAAGACCGGAAGATCCAAAGGACTCCCTTGTTGATTGACTGTAAAGTTGTTGAACCCGTGGAATCTGTAGGACTTAAAACAGGACGACCCAAAACCAAATCGAGATTTGAAAGAAGGTGAAATGATTTCATCGAATCCCGAATAGGGTGAACCGCAACCATAGTTGCGGGACTACGGTCAACTCGCATGCACGGCGCGTGCCCACCTACCCCCATCCACACGAACTCCATCCACCGCCGAGCACAGAGGAGAGAGAGAGAGCACAAAAAGCCAACCCAAAGGGAGGGTGACTGCGCATCGTTGTTGCACGTGACTGGTGCCGAAAAAAAACGTGTGTGAGATGTGTTGGTCTGTAGGGCAATCTCCCGTCGGTTGTCGAACTTAGAATACACAGACGAATTGGTGGCTTTCCGTCGGACGAGGCTCGATTCAAACTCTCACATGCATACACATCGTGTCGGTACCGCACAGAGGCCATGTGCGCGTTTGGTGTGTGCTTGTCGGGAGCGATAGCTCCCCATGTGGTGTGGCCATGTCATAACACTCACAACAGCAATCTGGCAGTTGGCAAGCGGTGGACCTCTCGGGTGGTTCGCGGTGGACTGCAGAGATTCGTTTCCATTTGGCAGATCTCCCGGTCAGAGGCCAGTTCTGTCCGGATTTGGGTAGATCCGCCTCTTTTACTCTTATATCGAAACATGATTTCGAGATCTGATTTCTTCGTTGAGACTTACCCTTATTCCCTCATCCCACAAGATACAAGGGCGTAGGTAGACGCAGGAGTCGAGGGACGGCTGGTACCGAGATGGAGAGGACCAACACCAGGCAGAGTCATGCAAGCAAAAACAGGTCGGGAACAAGACAAGAAGGTCGTACATGCCTGTGTACCAATTAGTGTCGGGGTTGTTGTTGTGGTCGGGGCCATGGCTTCCGGAGCGAGAAATATAGCATCTCTCGCGCACAATCTCACACACTACTGACGGTTTGCTAAACCGCCCATGCGAACTTCATTGATTGTCCATGGGCCGCGCATGAGCTGCCCATGAACTGCCCACGAAGTGCACACCGTGGGCACTTCAAACTATAGGACTCGCCACCGATGTATCAACCTGGAACTTAGCCATCGGCGCATCAACCTAGAAGTTAGCCATCCAGCGCCAACCTAGCGCGTATCGTGTGGGTTTGGGGTTAGGGTTAGGGTCAGCGTTAGCCGATGTAGTGCCCGTTCCAAAGCCGATGATCTATTGTTTAGGAGTACACTGTGGTTCCACTTGAAGGGTACTCATTGGCCGCCCATGGGCTGCCCATGGGCTGCCCACGGGCTACTCATGGGCTTTCCAGTGGGCATTCCCCACGGGCTGCCCATGGGACACCCATGGGAGCCCTTGACGCCGCGAGTCGTTAGACCATTGCCCTCGCGGCCCTGCAAAGCCGGGACGGAACACGCCGGGTTCTCACCGGACCAGGCTCTCATATCACCAAGCGCGAAGTGCAGTGAGGTATTCGGCGAGTCGCATGAAGGGTGCGCTGCATCCTGCGAAGGGTGTCCAACATCTTGTGCTAACATCCTTGCGTGCGGATGACAGCTGCGATTGGCTTAATTTATGTTGTGTTTTTTTCACTTCCAGAGACAGTGAAGCACTGTGTAACTGCCTCGAAGGGTGCTTGACCAATTTATCACAACGTGGTGCGATCATCCCCTTTGTGCAGAGTGAGGGTTCTCAAATAATCTACTCGACCACCATTAGATATGGTTACCAAAAATGGTAACCTGTTTGTCGAGTTCACGAAGTGAGTTGGCTTATTTTACAACGCCGTTGCTTTGCCCGTGATGTGAAGGCGTCGTGAGCGAAAAAAAGGGTGGACGAACGTTGTTCGATGTCGTAAAAGGGTCTGAATTGGCCAATAACATTGCAACAAGCGGCGGACATTTTCCCCCCCCCTTACCCTCGAGGCAGTTACACAGTGCTT